GCTCTTCCTCTGCAACCGCCTCCTTCCTTCTCCCCTCCGCGAGAACTCTCGCAGAGGCTCCCTCGCTCTCCCGATAACAAAGACCTCCAGATCCAACGCTTGAAGGTAATTTCTCCACGCGACTTTCTCTTACATTCTCCTTGTTTCTACATGAGTCAGTAGCGTAGTGACGTGGATTGTTCTCGACCTATTTCCTATGAGGAAATCAATTTTACTAAGGATAACCGTCGTATTGCGCTTAATTTCGATTTCAGTTTGTTTGCATAGACTTCTGACGTACTAGAAGAAAATAGAAAGGAAAGATTAAATAAGTTATTTCGTAATGCATGAAATGAAATGAAATATAAATTCCTGGAGAAGTTAATACAAAGAAAAATTCTACGAATTATTTTATGTGTAAAATAGTTTTAATTTATGGAGAAATTAATTTTCTTTTGTCTTTTACTATGAGTGTTTTTGGAAAAATTTATCTAAGCAGGTTCCTGGTCAGAAAGATTTACTTGTGGCGTTAGGATTTGGAAGTCGAGGTTAGTTGTAGAGGGAATGTGTTCCCACTTCCCATTCTTTGGTTTTATCGGTGAAATCGTGTTACTTGATTTAGAGGTATTTTAGGCATATTTTCAATTGGCGTCCAACTTTTGAAACTCGAGGTTTCTATTTGTAGTTTTTCCCTCTTTTTTGTATGTTTTGGAGGTGACATGGGAGGAAAAACCGAAAAAGGTGTTTTGTATGCTGGGTTGTTTTGATGATTGTTGAGATGACTCACGTGCATGTGCTTTTATTATAGGGTTCATTGGCCACTTTTCAAAATTTAGATAATGAATGTTTACTTGACTTTTCTTATGCTAAACTTGGTATTGTTGGCTGGTGGCATGAACAGAGGGAGCTGGAACATGCAACAAAGCAGATTGCAAATCTGGTATGCTTGTGCTACTGTACGCACTTGTTGTTTTTAATTTGTTGAGGACACGATTCTGTCTTATTTGTTCTCACTTTGTAGCTGCTGAAAATTTTTTTTGATTATGAGAGTCGGTAAAATGTTGGTATGTCATAACTTTGTGTGCTTTCAGGAAAAGGAGCGTGTCAGGTTAAAAAAAGAAAGAGACAAGAAAGAAGATCAGCTCAAATTTATATCTTCCAAGAATGAAGAAGAAAATGCTTGTACCAAGTGTTCAACGTCGCAGAGTGTAAACAAGTAAGTCAAAATTTTAATTTTGTTTTACAGGATGTTCCGATCATTTGGTTATGGGACAAAAGTGTCTCCTATTGTTGCATGTCAGATTAACCAACAGGAAAGCGTAGAGTTTAGCTCTTTAATATATTGCAGCTATACACTACCATTGTTGTTTACATAATCTTGAATGGTGCACAAGGTAGAAGCTATTGAAAAAAAACTACTAGGATGAAAAAGGGGCATTTGACTTTCTGCTAGGAAGTTTATGAGCTAAAACTGAAGATAGAAAAATATGTAGTCTTTTTGCTGTAACTGTTGGTGAATATGTACCTGTCTCTCTATTTCTGTATGTCATATATCTTATGGGCATTGGTGAGAGTGACCAGAGCTTATTTATACAGCCATTGCCAATTGTGTCTTGAATGACAAATGGTCTGAAGCTAAATTAAGAGTTCACCCGAAATATCTAGTAATTAAATTGCTTGACTAACAGAGTAGACTAGACTGAGTTTAAGCTATAAGCAGAAGGGTCAAGGTATGCCATGACAGATAACTAACCAGTAATAAGTTACCGGTGTATCATATCAGGCCTGAGATTGTTGTTTAAATTCCTTATTTAGTGCTTTTTTTTATTCTCTCTAATGTAATGTTGCACTACATGTGGCATAAAGTTATTATTAACCAGGCACTAAAATGACAGGGATTTTGGAACTCTTGCTCCCAACTGTCATAAAATCTCTTCAAAAATTCAAAATGGAGTAACTTCAAGCGACCCAATTGGTGAGGCATGAGAAAAATATCTTTCTCATTTAAAAGAATTTTCTGTTTACTTCTGACATGGTGACACCTTTCTTGGCTTGTCTTTTTGCATGCCAGTTGAAACTACTTTTAAAGCTAAGGGAGTTGAAACAGACAAGGTTAGTCATCAAGAAGCTCAAGGTGCTCTAAGTGATGATCTACCTGCGTATCTTGATCTCTCCCAGAAGTTGCTGGCAATTTGGGGATCTCCAACTGACAAAAAGATGGGAAATAGCGTGATATCCAAGTTGCTTGTGGGTTGTCAAAGAGATTTTCATATTCTCTTTGGCTGCTTGAATATGAGTCTACCCTCTGAAATAACAAGAGAATTACTTTCAGACTCAAGCTCTTCAGGAGCAGCTTTGCATCACCTCAAGGATCGTTTTCATACTCCAGAAGCAGCAAAGATGTCAAATCTCTACCTTGCGCTGACAAAGGTATTACTTCAACTTTGCTTTTTTATGTTTCCTGTACAATTCATATATGAAATTGCAAATTTCTGATCCAGTGGAGATATTCCAGGCATGAAATAGTAGTTTGGTTTAAAATAATGGGTGTCCATATTATTGATTTGGAAATTTTCCAAAAAACGTGAGGTAAAAAATTTGCATGGACTCGGTGATTTTTGTTTGTTAGATTATATTTTTCTTGCCTCTTTGGTTACTCCATATGGTTGTTTTAAAGTGTTTTTTATGTTAGATATTTAGATATCTCTTGTGCAGAGTTTTTCTTACTCATTATATGTTCATGTTCATTGTGCTATTAGGAGGATTTCTTTGTCATCATTTTTTGCATTTATCTTCTCTTGTAATATCATAATTTATTTTGTTTTTTTTAATTTTTCCTAAATCTTTGGACTGATTCCTATTCATGGTTACATATTGGCTCTTGTTATTAGCTGGTTTCTATTGTTCAATCATGTTAGTTGAGGTTGTATATCATCCAGATATTGATGTGTTACAGATAGCTGATGGGACAGATGTTTTGGAAACTTTGATTGAACCATTGCTTGATCTCTGTGGTATGGAAAATGTAAGTACTTTCATATTAATTTTGTGAATAAGTGTTTTATTTTTAAATTGCTTGCAAACTTATATTACTATTACCTGTATGTAACCATTTTCCTTATTATGTGGTAAGTCTCTTGAAAAATGATGAGTTAGCTAATTTAATGGATCCTGCAGGTTCCTAAGGATAAAGTAACAATTAACACTCATAGTTGTAGGAACCAAGAATAGAAATAGAGAATTTTTTTTTTTTTTTTATAGAATTGAAAGAACAGAAAATAGTGGATCCCTCCTCCAAGAGTTTCCCCCTCACAAAGGATTCCTCCTTTGAGCAAATGCTAATTCTATAGAATGGTGCAAGACAGAGCGGATCCTTTCCCCTTAGGTTCTTCTGTTTATTTAACTCCCTGACCGGCTAACTCATTGCTCCAACTATTAGTAACTGTTTTTGCTATTCCCTCTCTCCTAACTCCTAAATGCTAACACATAGGCATAAAACAGTTTGCTCATGATAGTTACTGCAAGATGCATGGTTTAGCAAATTTCAATAAGCACTTGAATAACCAGTGATCATTGATTTGATTGCAATCCTGAGGCCAGCAGAGTTTGAGGCCAAAAAATGATTTGTATTGTTTGCAACCTTGAATAGTGTATATTAAGCTTGTGGTGAGTTGGAAATTGGAGCGTTGGATAATGATATCATAAGTGTCAACCAGCCCTTGGCCTAGAAATTGTTAGGAAGAAGGTTAGCTAGTGAGAGGGGATCAATTAAAAAAGTTGGGGAATAAAGAGAGGTGGGGGGGGGGAGGATTCATTCAAAGAATTAAAATGTTTTTGTATGAACAGGGGAAATTCTTTGTGAAGAAAAGCCATTGGAGAAGTCTTTCTCCTTTTCTCTGTTCATTTCCTTTTTTTTATTTTATGTTTTCTATCAATTTCTCTTTCCTGTGTTTGTAAAAGTAAACTAAAGCCCTAGGATGAGAATGATTTCTCTCCTTTTCTCAGTTCATTTCCTTTTTTTTTGTTTCTATCAAATTCTCTTTCCTGTGTTGGTAAAAGTCAGCAATTTGAGCCTTGTACTCCAACTAGAGTCTATATATGCAGCATTTTTTAAGTTCTGATATATCTGATTTCTAAAACAAAGTTACTGTATTAATTTATATGAAATAATATCATGAACATCAATGCCATTGGCTTCCTGTACCTAACTACTTGTGAGTTATGATTTTTGTAAAAGAATTTTCTGTTGAGTTAGGGCTTATTGAGTCATTATTGGCTCATGTCATTGTATGCTTTGATGATATTCTAAAATTGAAATGCCCACATGCTTGAAAGTTGAAAGTTACCATGTTGGTTTCTAATGTTTGTAAAAGTAATTTTATCGAATGTTCTCTTTCTTCATATTTTATAATCTATAAACCGTTACTGACAATTTCTCCCTTTTGCATAGGTTGTTATTGTCTATAGCTCTCTGTGTGTACTGCATATGCTTCTGAAGCTCCTATTGGAATTGGAAAAGAATGTTGGAAGGAGGTATGCTGCTTTATTTGGATGATATTTCCCTTTTTTTTAATAACTTCACGCTGATTGAATGTGTCCTTTCCCTTGTCCATTAGCCCAATGTTACAATCTGAATTGATCCCTTTCTCTTTCTGAAGTGATGATATTTATTAATATTATATTTCAATTAATAATACGTCTATCAGATACCGAGTTGTATTCAACTTGGCTATGCTGATGTCTAGTCTGGGTTTGATAACTATGGTGAAAACAAAAGAAAATGAAATGTTTTCTCAAGTATGTCAAACTTACCCTATAATATAAGTATTGAATGTGTATAGACTGGGTGGAACAAGAAACTAATTATTGTGCATAGACTGGGTGGAAATGTTGTAGCCAGACAACTGATCTATCTTCCCCACCCTCTCTTAGGTGCCTGGGTGGGTGTGGAAGGGGCACTGGTGACTAGGTGAGGGATTGGAGTTTGGTCAGTTGTTTTTGTTGTTGATTTGCCCAAAATGCTTAGTTGTAGTAAGCAATAATTTAATCATGCTGCTTTCAGAAAATGCTGTTGAGCCTGTTATATAGTTTATACCTTTTCTTCAATTTAGTGATCTGTACCTTTTTTCCCCTTGGGCAAGACTAAGAATCCAGGATAGGTTATAAACTGCTGAATGGGATTTACTGTATTGGAAGTCACTTTTTCTTTCTTTCTTTCATTGTGGTTGTTCCTGTTCTTATGAACTTATGATTTGATCTTTCCAGTGCACTCTGCTCAGGGACAATGTCATCATTGAAGGTCTTCACGATGGGAATGACCTTGTCGATTCTGGTGTAAAAGATGGAAATCTCTTCAATGAAGAACTAGTACGCAGAAAAGAGAGCTGGAGCCATCAAAATTCCTTACAACCTCATGTAAATTGGATTTATCTTTTTGAGATAATGCATCAAATTGCCATGAGGATCACAGAGGAAAGAGAGAGAGTGGAGGCGGTATCTATTATGAAGCTGCTTTTCCTGAGAAGTAATGCTTACTTTGAGAGGGATCAGTAAGTTTTCAAGGTTCTGTTTTTCATTAAAAATCGACTTAAGATATTAAGTTGACATCATGTGAAATTTGTGTCAACACAGGTTTAGCCAGAAAATAGTTTTTAAAACTATTTCAGAATTGCTAAAGAAGAATGCTGGGCTGTCTGTGAAGAAACATGGTCTAAGACTTCTATACCTAGTTCTAAATTGTAAGTTTCCTCCACTAACCATTTTATCAAATTATTTTTCATCCAGGGCTACAAAATTTGATTCCTGACCCCTTTCATTTCAATTGGTTTTGCAATTGCTGCATATAGACTTCACATCTCCCTTATATCTTTCCTCGTAATTTTGTAGGAAAGTAATGATTTTGACTGAAAACAGTTTATATTTCAGACTGTCATACTTGTTGCTCAAGTACAAGACAATAGTTTAAGAATTGAGGGTTAATATGTGTTGTTATCTGCTGGGCAGTGTGCATTCCATGCTGATCCTAACTTTCTTATATGTATTTTTTTAAAATTTTATGTTCATGCGTTCAAGGTCCAAAACTCTTGGCTGCCTTCTGCTGTGGTTGCAAAGAGGGGGATGATAGCAGTTCTATGGATGGCAATGAATTTGCTTCTGATATCCAAATTTTTAAGATCATTCTTCAAGGATTGTCTGATTGCGTAGTATCTCATAGAGGTGGTTTGCTGGTAAGTTTGCTAACGAAGACACTGATACTGTTCATATAAGTGGACATTTTGGCATAAAAATTCAATTGTGATGTGTTTTTTTTTATTATGAAGGCTGTTGGAAAATACATATGTTGAGAATATTGTCCATTTGATTATACAGTTGCCTGTGGACAAATTTGATGTGTCTGCATCTAGATTACTCTTGTATTATTTATTCTTTTACATCTAGATTAAAAGCTTTCTTATTCTCTTCACTAATAGGGATGTACTCAAGCACTTCAGTTTGGGGAAAGAAAAAACAAATTAATATGATATGTATTTCAAAACATTATCCGCCTAAAATTTTGATCATTGTAATTTCAGGAGTTGAAAGTAAGCAGAAATGCTATTCTTGTGCTGGCTTTCCTTTCATCATCTGGACAACCGGGTTTTGAAATTCTTGTTAGTCACAGGTTTTCTAGCAGAGGGGTAAACTATCTTATGTTGATTTTGCAATTACTGGTATCAGAGATGGATCTTGAAGTTGGAGCATATGAGCAGCAGCCAGAAATTTTTAGGGAGAGGTAGTATAACTTGGCGTTTGGATACGTTCATCAAAATTATTCATTCCTCTTATTTGCAAATTGTACTTTACAACTGTGTTTTCTTAAGGTTATCCTTATTATATTTTTTGTAGAGTCCATTCATTTTTTGAATGAAAAAATATATATTCCACTTTTGTGTTCCTTTGCTTATGTTTAGGTTGATTCTGAGGTTGAGATATCGGTGAAGTCTTGATTTTCATGTGTACGATGTGATTTAAGTCTTGGTTTCTTTGACACACTCTGACCATTTGTTGTCACTTGTCAGGACATTTTTGATACGGGAGATACTGATATTACTTAACAGACTAGTGTCTAACCCTTCATATTCTGCTACTGTCTTGCGCGATTTAACAACCACTAGGGATATGGCTGGTTTGACAATTGATGTTGCAAGCAGATTATCTCGGAAAGCAAAGAAAAATGGGCAGCAGGACAGCATGGTAAAGCATATACGAGAAACTGAAATCGTTGACCTAGCTCTCCTTTTCAAGAAAAGGGTATTCACATATTTAGGTGATGACTTATCGTGATGCGTCCTCTTCCATTGTTCAGAGATTTTGTACATCTGCTCGTGTGTATCATTCTACTCAGGTAGGAACTGGTACTGAAATGGTGCGAAGCATATAGGCAGCAAAGGCACGCTTGTCTTGATTGTTAAGTTTCAGGAGTCTTGCCTAGCTGAGGAAATTTTGACTGGCATGAGAAATGTTTTGTTCAAAATAGTGTAATTGAAATATGTGATTTAGTGATCGAGAATGTGGTCATTGAGCAATGTCAGGCTTGAGAAAGTGACGTACCATTTTTTTTGGCATATTCCAATCCCCCCTTCTTTTTAAGGCTATGGATGGACTCATTTTTTCATGGCTTAGAAGAATTTTAAAAGTAAAATTTAAAAATAAGAGTTTTAAATGTAAATTATAAGTTATTTGATAGTTTTTATTTCTTTAAACGTAAAAGATTTGATGCGAGAGAAAGCGGAGACGAAAAAATAAGAGGAGACTACGAGAATAGAGTGAGGGAGAAAGATAGAGCAAGAGGAATATAGGTTTTATTTATTATTTTTATTTTATTTTTTTATCTTGCTTTCTTTAGAAGTTAATTTTCTTTTGATAAAAATTATGCTGCTTAATGTTTGAAGAGTTTTCTTGTTAAGAAAAATGTTTGACGAGTTTTTGAAATGTACTTGGCTTGCTTTTTCTTAAAATAAAAGAAGAAAAAAATGGGGTTAGAAGTTTAGATTTGGGTATGATTTCACTTGTAATTTTTTTTTATTGACAAAAAATGTAAAGTTGATGAAAATTACAATAAAATCAAACCTTTAGAGCAAGTTTGGTGATTAGGATATGAAATAAAGGTATGATATGATAAAAGTATAATAAGTTTTATTCAAATTTTGGTGGGCATAATGATAATAAATAAGATAATATTGTTATAATATATATTTTGTATTTAATATAAACTAATAAGATATGATATAAATTATATTCAAATAAATAAACTTGTTTCTTTAAATTGCATTTAACTTTTAAAAAATAAATTTAAATTTAATTATTTAAAAATTTAAATTAAAAAATAAGTTTTTAAATATTATATATATATATATATATATATATGTATATAGATATTATTTATGTAGTTACTTTTATTA